AGCGTATGTTAAGTTATAGCGTGGCTGAGGAAATTAAGTGTATTGAGAAAGAATAAACTAGTGTTGCGTCATCGAGATCATGTGATTCTCACGCTCTCTCCTTTCTTGTATTTTCCTGTACTTTGGCGAATGTTCTTGTTCTTACTAGATATAGGGTAGGCGGGTATATAAAAGAGGGGAATGTAACGTGTGTGTAGATAGTGAGTAATTGAACTGCAGTCAGAGAGCACGAGAGACGTTACAGCGTTTGTTTAGCGCGATTGTTGAAGTTGAGTGTATCGGTAAAGTTATATTTGGAAAGAATAAACTAGTTTTATTAAGAAAGGAGTTGTGTCACTTAAGTTTCGTCGGAACAAAGTTACGGAAAGTTAATTAACAAACGGAGACGTAACACTAGTTTTATTTAAGAAAGGACTTGTATCGCTAAAGTATCTTCGGAAAGAATTTTTACGGAAAATTAACAAACGAATATAGAGGCGTAACAATATCATTAAATTTCCACTGTTATTTTGATTAATTTATTGATTTCTAATACAAACGAATATTTTGAACATATTTAAATAAGTGTAGATACGTAGATTTGAGATTATTAAAACAGTGTGTGAAAATATTGGGTGGGGGGGATGTTGCCCACCTGTTACATATGGGCACGATGCTACTGCTCTCATACCTATTTTTGTTTTCTGTTTTTATTTTCTTCTTGTCCCTCATTTAGTCAGTGGTAAGTTTATGCACTTACAATGCTAAAATCTGTGGCTCGATTCCCCGAGGTGGACAGAGCGCAAATAGCTCATTGTATAGTACATAAGTTTTAACGGAAAAGAAGGTTTTCGTATTTAAATCAAAATTCAGTAATCTAACCAGTGATGGAAAGGTTGTACCTGTGCTAAACGTAATATATTTCCTTACTGTAAAAGCTCTAATTTGTAATAAAATAATTTTTATAATTAGTAAGTAAACTCAAAATGAAAATATTTACTTTCTAGCTGAAGCACCCGTCCTCTGGACGGAAGTTATATAAATTCATGATTGATGAAAGGTTATCTTAAGACATGAAAAGTTGCTTTCCTTATACGTAATTATAAAAAACGCCAATAAAAACTGCAAAACACAAAATGCGAAAACGCAAGTTTTCAAGTACCTCTCCATGGACCCAACAAACCTTTATGCCAAATTTGTTGAAGATCGATCTACAGGAGGTGAGGTAATGGAGAAAAACGCAAAAACATCCATAAAAACCGCAAAACTGAAAATTTGTATGTAACTCCTCATGGACCCAATGAACCGCCATAACAAATTTGGTGAAGATCCATTCACACCCTGCAAAGTAGTTACGTGGACATACAACAGACAGTACTATTATATTTATATAGATTTTGGCATTGCTTTTTTCATTAAAGTCTCGTTGTTGAAACTTCTTTTAATACTAACTAGTTTCAATTTTAGGTGGAACCAAATATGTGAGTTTTTAATAATAACTTGCAAAATCAAAATAATAATTTTAAATATAAGGAAATAAATATAAAAATTCATGTTGCGTTTTATATCGAATAGTTTTGCTGTTTTACTTTTAAAAAATTAAAGCGACTTTCCTCTACAGACTGACATGTTAGATACGAAACTAACAGTAATCGTTTGAACAGTTTCCTTCATAGCCAACCAATTATAAGAGAGTATTAGTGTAAAAGCCCGAGTGGGGAAATTCAAACGAGCGTTAAGTCTGTACATTGGAGCGGCTACAATTATTATGTAGGGATCTAGTGTTGAATTTATCGTTAGAAAGAAAGAACTGTCGGGTTTTAAAGTTAAAAGATTTCCATAATTAATAGGAGCACTCATTTTGATTGGGAACTCTGAAAAAAAAGAAAGAAATGGCCACAAAATATAAGGAAAATACCCGCCTAAAAGTAGTAAAAGAAATTCCTGATGTCGTTATTGATTGTGTTAACAAGAGGCGATATATGAAAGGTAGATTTTTAGGAAAGGTAAGTATTAACTTTCTTTCTTTCAATACTTATGGCATGCTAATACTACTACTAGTAGTTGTCGTAATGCATAAATCACCTACTGCTCTTTGTTAACATAAATTATAATGTGAATGGACATATATGATATGTATGATGTAAATTGTAATGAAACTTGTAAGAGACACAGAATTTTAATTTACTATGAGTATCATTACTAAACAATTTGATATTAATAACTAATATTATAACAGTTGTAACTAACTCTAAATACTTGTTAATGTTTAAAGATATACTACTTATACTGTCGCTGTAACTGTAAGTATTTAGATGCAGGCTTTCAAGTTATAGTGAAATTGCTTTTTTGTACTGTTAGTTTTTTTTAACTAGAAAAAATTGAACTGAACCACATACCTGGCATAATTAAAAGGAAGTGCAAACTACTGTATTAATTTTTCATATATATATGTTATCATAGCATGTTTTTGCTAGAAATATGTTTTTGGATTATAACTTTTCATATTAATTTAGTTAATAACAGGGTTAATGTTTTTAAGTTAATAAAACTTATGTTTGAAGTTTTTAATTTTTGTTAAGTTATTAAATCAATCTGTAACCTGTAGACTGTAGCACTAGGCCTGCAAAACATTGTTTAAATTTCTAAGTCAAAGGTATTGTATCAATGTATGGTCAAAGGAAACTTAATGTAATTTGGTTTTTCAATAAATCTATTTGTATTTTCAGGGAGGTTTTGCAAAATGTTATGAACTCACAGACATGGAAACCAAAGAAGTATTTGCAGGAAAAGTTGTACCAAAGGCTATGCTTTTAAAACAACATCAGAAAGAAAAAGTGATTATATATGTCATCACATCTATTATGTGGTTATTTTTTTTAATGTTAATTTCAGTTTCTCTTACTCAACTTTATGAACAAGTAAAATAAAGATTTACAAGTTACTGTTTGCCTATAAAATCAATTTTATATTTTAATACTTGTTCTGTTACACTTAATGATATTAAACATTTCCATAGTTTGAATTTTTTTTTCTCCTATTTAGTATTTCATCCATGAATTAAAGATGTGCAAGTTCAATGAAAGTAGGGTACATGGTCTATATGTCATTTTGAATCTCTTGAAAATATTGGAGGAATTAACTTTTTTTTTTTTTAAATACAGATGACCCAAGAGATAGCAATTCATCGTAGTTTGAATCATAAGAATATAGTTGGCTTTCAAGGGTATTTTGAAGACCCCAATTATGTTTATATTGTCTTGGAACTTTGTCGAAGGAGGGTAAGAAGAGTTAGTTATTTGCATCAAATTTAGTTGAAGTTTTTGCAACTTTTGAAGATTTTATTAATTAGGTCAATTTTATCTAGACTTGGAAAGTTCATAAATTTGATGGTTGAAACTTAAAAATTTTTCAAGCAAAATTAAGTTTCTCTTTTTGTATCTAAAAGTAGAGAAGCTGTGGTTTAAGTTGCATCTGTTGAGCTTGCCTTTGTTACTCATAGGTACTTTATTTCATGATACATTTAGATAAGGATTCTCAACTTTTGTCAGTCTGAAACCTTTTTTTGTGAGGGTAAACAATCAACCCACCATTTGTCAGGTAACTAAAAATCAACAGAGAATAAATACCACTAAAAGAATGGTACACACATACGGATTACTTGTTAATTACTCTGTAACTGTAAAACACTCAATCATAAAATCTGTAGCATACCAAGACTGTAAATTCAAGGTTTTATAGTTTGTGTCCCATTTCTGCAATAATCTGTTCCATACATTAGGGCCATTTGTGTACTATGAGTTAAGGTCAAATCCCAATAGGTTAAACAAGTAAAACATAGGAGTTGGTGGTGAGGGGGGGGGGGGTTGATGACTAACTGCTTTCCCTCTATTATTTCAAAAGTAGACTTCTATGTGCAGATAGCCCTTGTGTGAAAGTACAAAACAAACTGGAAATTTAAAAAATAAATATTTTTTCTTGTAGTACACCCAGACAGCAAAAAGGTTGAGAAGATGAAACAACTCTCTTTGAATATAAAGCTGGTCAAAACTTATCTTTCCTATTTTAAAATTTAATAATTAAATAACTAAGAAAATACAACCATGCAGTTTTCAACATCTTGTAGCCCAACTCAAACAGTTTTTATTGTCATGTTTTTTTTTTCTACTCCGGTGAGTAGTGTAAGAAGGCTCAGTGCATCATTTGGCTAGAACATAATTACAGATGGCAATACAGGAAGGAAGTATTGGGGGGGGGGTATGTTAAGAATATTGTATATCACACACATAAAGCAAACATCACGGAGCTAAAGACTAGGATAACAGACACCATTGCCACTGTAAATGTACTGCCTGTGATTCACAGTAAGTCGTACAATATGCACACTGAGAAATGTAACTGTGCTGCTTGTGATTCACAGTACGTTGTACAATATGCACACTGAGGGATGTAAATGTACTGCCTGTGATTTACAGTAAATCATACAATGTGAATGTACATGTAGTTTGTTTTATTTTTTGTAAACATTTGCTTTCAGTTTTTAGATGCAGGTTTTCAAGTTATAGTGAAATTGCTTTTTTTTGTAATGTTAATTTTTTTACTAGAAAAAAATTGTTTGTAAAATAATTGAACTGAACCACATACCTTGCATGATTGTAATGAAGTGTAAACTATTGTACTTGCCATAACTCAGTTTGTAAAGTTTGTTAACTATCATCAGCTATGTGGTGATTATAAATGAACTGTTTTTTTATCGTAATGTGTTAAGTGTGAATATAATTCTGTACCTAGGAACCTAAGCTGTGTCATTTAACCTTATTTTCAACATCACAGATCTTAGTACTGTGAGCACAAGTTATTTATCAGAAACCTCTGCCATGTGTATAGGATGTTATATTTTTGTGAATGAAATCTTTGTTTACAGAATTTGATCTGTGCAAACAAAAAAGCTGTTTCACACATAAAAGAAAATCACTTGATAGCTTACCAATTCTTTAGAATTAAGAATATCTACTTCCATGTTAAACCTCTCTGACATGATCCATATGTGGTTTGACATTATTTTTACAGTTTATTTGAAAGTTGTTTAAAGAAAGTTTTGATACTTGTAGTTGGCACAGAATGGATAGCCCTTTGTTTAGCTTTCTGATTAACAAAAAACAAAAATTAAAGAAAGATTCCGAGTTCATTTTCTGTAAAGACCAGCATAAATCTTGCATCAGAATTTTTAGTATGAAATCCAAGGACTGCAGAAATGATTTTGAAAGTGTATTTAGCTTAAGACATAGAATTCAAGGAATTCTAGTATATGTGTGTGTGTGTGTGTGTGTGTATATATATATATATATATATATCTGCTC